GGATGCGTGGGGCCGGCCGCCCCCACGCGTGATTTTCGCGGGTCCCGGGGAGCGGGCAGGCTTTCTCGCCTCCCTCCCGCCTTCCCCCGGGGCGTGGGTGGACAAGCGGCCGTTCCGTGAGATGGAATACACAGATGGGATACACACGGCCTCTAGGGCGGTTGTTCAGGGCTCAGAATTGGGCCGTGACCTTGACTTCAGCCAACTGGGGGTCTGCGCTGTTTCTTGGGATCATCTCGGAGAGACAGCACGGGGTACACTGAGCTTAAGAGTGGGCGCTGGGCCGGGCGCGGTGGCTCACGCCTGTCATCCCAGCACTTGGGGAGGCGGACGCCAGAGGATTGCCTGAGCCCGGGGGTTCGAGACCAGCCTGGGCAACTTGGGGAGACCTCAGCTCTATAATGAATCAAAAAATTAGGGGGCGTGGTGGCACGTGCCTGTAATTCCAGCTACTTGGAAGGCTGAAGCGCAGGGATCGCCACCTGAACCCCGCAGGTCAAGGCGGCGGTGACTGAGCGTGCCACTGCACTCCAGCCTGGGCAACACCGTGAGACTCCAACTCAAAAAAAAATAGCGGGAGCTGGACTGGGTGTGTGACTTGTGATTGAATCCCAGCCCTTCAAGAGGCCACAGTGGGAGGATCGCTTGAGGCCAGGAGTTGGAGACCCGTCGAGACACCAAAGCCAGACCCTGCCTCTACAAAAATAAAAGTGAATTTTGTTTTTGAGTTGGAGTCTCACTCCATTGCCCAGGCTGGAGTGCAGTGGCACGCTCACGGCCACCCCAGTGTGGACCTGCTGGGCTCCCACAATCCTTCTGCCTCAGCCTTCCAAGTAGCTGGAGCCACTGGCACACACTACCACGACCGCTAATTTTTTGATTTCTTGTAGAGATGAGGCCTTGTCAAATTGCCCAGACTGTTTGTTCTTGAACCCGTGGGCTCAAGCAATCTTCTCACCTCGGCCTCCCAAAGGGTTGGTATATGAATTTTAAAAGTTAAAAAAATAAAATTAGCTGGATATGGTGGTGCATGCCTGTAGTCTCAGCTACTGGGGAGGCTGAGGCTGGAGGATCAGCTGAGGTGCAGTCTGAGGCTGCAGCTGTGATGGTCCCACTGTACTCCAGCCTGAGTAACAGAGCAAAAGCATGGGCTTCTAAAACAGATTCTTTGTTCACATCCTGCCACTATACTGGGTGGCTAATGACCAGGTACACCTGTCTTACCTCTTAACATTTTAATCTGCAAAATGGGGCTATCTATCTTGCAGCTCTTGTGAGAAATACACGCATTAATACTAACAAAGCACTATAAAACAGAGCCTGGGATTTAACACTAGCTAATTAGTATTAATTATTGAATCAGTCGTGTAAAATTCACAGAATAGGGTTTGACTGACCACAGGGGAAGAGTTAGGATGAGGAGGAAATTTTTTATAACAATTAAAAAGGTCTATCTCAGCTGGGCTCGGTGGCTTAGCCTGTAATCCCACGGCTTTGGGAGGCTGAGGTGAGTGAATTGCCTGAGCCCGCGGGTTTGAGACCTGCCTGGGCAGCGAGACCTCATCTCTACAATAAATCAAAAATCAGCCAGACATGGCAGCGCGCTCCTGTAATTCCGGCTACTCGGAAGGCTGAGGCAGAAGGATCGCTGGAGCCCAGCGGGTCGAGGCTGCAGTGGCTGGGAGTGGCCACTGCACTCCAGTCTGGGTGACGGAGTGAAACTCCAACTCAAAAAAAAATAAAAAGGTCTATCTCACCAAGGGTTTAGGTTACAGGAATACAGTTACACTTTGCACATTTCGCTGTATGTAAATTTACCTCCTAAAGGAACATTAAAATATTAGTTGTTATTAGACCTATAGAGGAGACCACAGAGATATTTTAGGCCCATTCTCTACATTTTATAGATGAGGAAACTGAGACCTAGAGACTTAGTAGAAAAAGGTGAGGCAGCCAGGCATCGTGGTCCACGCCTGTAATCCCAGCACTTTAGGAGGCTGAAACGGGAGGACTGCTTGAGCCCAAGAGTTCAAGACCAGCTTGAGCAACATAGTGAGACTCCATGTCTCCAAAAAAATAAAATAGAAAACAGGTGTGTGGAACATGCCTGCATTCCCAGCTGTTTGGGAGGCGGAGGCAAAGATCTCTTGAGCCCCGGAGTTTGAGATTGTGGTGAGCTGTGATTGTGCCACTGCCCTTCAGCCTGGGCAACAGAGTGAAACCTGGACTCAAAGGGGGGGAGCGGGGGGGGCGGGAATTGGCAATTACTAATTCTGTCATTTTCCAGTAATAAGTGACTTTTGAGAAATTATGAATGAAAATAACAAGTTACTACGTTTGGGATCCAGTTGGGTCACGCTGTCATAGAGATTTTGTTGAAATTTCCTCAAATCCCTCATCCACTTCTTCTTGTCTCTCAAGGCAAATGTCCTGTCACTGACAGCACCGACCTTGGGGGTTGCAGTGTCACTGCCACTTATGGCTCTGAGTTCCTGCTTTTTCTAAACGCTTAGACTCACCCACATCTCACCTCCTGCAACTCTTCTCTCTGTGCCTGCTGACACATCATGGGGAGATCAACCCCTTTTCTTTGGCTGTTTGAATAGCAGATTCTTCAGTCGGGGCAACTGGGGGGATTCAATGAAGGATGCAAAAACCCTAAAATTAGAAATCCCGGAACTGGGCATGGCGGCGCACATCTGTAGTCCTGGCTACTCAGGAGCTGAGGCAGGAAGACCACCTGAGCCCGAGAGATGGGAGGCTGCAGTGAGTTGTGATTGTGCCACTGCACTCTGGCCTGGGCAACAGAGTGAGACTCCAAAAGCAAGGGAGGGAGGGAGGAAATCCCTGCTCCTACAAGTCCTCCAGTTGCCCCCGTGGCATTTGTATCCACTGATCCCCATTCCTTTAGTGTAAGTTGCCACTTCCCACCATCCACTACTTCTCTGGTCCCATCTCTCCTCTCCCCCATCTTTTCTCTTCTTACAGTATTTTAGGTATCTCCATCTCCTAATCCATGCCTTCAGGGCTACCTACCATTCCTCAACTGTTTATCAAAGTCATTTTCCCACACAAAGAAAGTAACTTTCCCGAGAGGAACTCTGGTTGCTAGTAAAATATTTTTTTACCCCAGCATGTCACAGTGTAGTTGCTCAATAAACATGAAGCAGCTTATGTGTGTGGCCTTCACAGTCGGTACAGTTCTGAAAGCCATTTTTTCTTACATCCGTAATAGTGACTAACTGCAGTGTAGATGAGGAAGCAAGTGAAAGTAGCTGGAATCGGCTGTCTGAGTGGAAAAAAAAAAGTCTACGTAACCATGGCTTATATTGCATAGAAGAAAGGACCACATTGAAGTCATAAAGCCCAGCACACCGTCTGAGTATTAAGCCCTCTGACATCCCAATGGAGGCAACACCTGGACCTTCACCTGTAGCAGTTTGGTCACAGCTCTGCATATGCAGTGATTGTCCTTCACTCCTGCAGAAGATGACACTGACTCACAGAACTCTTGTTTCTGAGGCAGGGATGAGGGGTTCACATGATCCATCTCACCCTCATCTGGTTTCCCTCCTGACCCAATGCTTGTCTTGGCAAGGCGATGGGCCAGGGTGGTAGTGCAGCCTATGGCCTTGAAGAAGTCTCCAGAGGCAGGGTCTTAGTGTATCCTGCTGCCTGTCTTTTGAAACCAGGACCCCTGAGAATCTGCTCAGCAGGACAAGCCACTTGAGGGTGGATGACAGCAGCACAAACAGCTGCTTTCCCTTGAGAGTGGTGGCATGCACCTGTAGTCCCAGCTACTCGGGAGGCTGAAGTGGAAGGATTACCTGAGCCCAGCAGGTCGAGGCTGCGGTAGCTGTGATTGTGCCATTGCACTCCAGCCTGGGCGACAGAGTGAGACTCCAACTCAAAAAAAAAAAAAAAAAAAGGCTGCTTTGCAGTGAGCTGGAGTGGCAGTCACACAAAGCAGGACTATGAACCCCTAAAGCCCAGCCTCAAGATGCTTTGCGACACTGCGGACAGCTGAGAAGGAACAAGGACTCACCATAAACCATAGTTTATTGTTTTCACTAGATACTTTGGACCTGTTCGAGTGATAGTTAAACACCCTGTGCAAATCCAAAAGATGGAGCTGAACGTAGTAACAGATTAATCCACAGATGGACAATGTGGTCAAGAACCACCAACCTTGTTAAAGACGTTTAGCAGGCCAGGTGTGGTGGCTCATGCCTGTAATCCCAGCACTCTGGGAGGCTTGAGCCCGGGAGCA